ATCTATGTCGGTCTGGCTATAATATGACTTGTGGGCATCGTTGAAGATTTTCTTGTTGAAGTTAAACATTTCCCGATTCATATCGTTGAAAAGATTTTCGTTTTCTACTGATACGTCTTCGTCTATACTGTGCGTTGATAAGTTTTGTAGCTTGATTGTGTAGGTGATTTCTTGCTTTTTGCTTTTTATCTTCCAATTTACTTTCAGTTCTGTCATCGTTCCCGCTTGATATTTGATGAAGGGCTCGTAACCTGCCATTTTTAGTTCGTGGAAGAGTTTTACGAGGTCATTATCTTTATGAACTAATGTATATTCTGCTTTTTCTGTGTATTTCAAAAGGTCGTTTGCTGTCTCTATCATATGGCATTCAGGGGGCTCTTCTCTGTCGCTTATAAAATAATTGCTACTGATTTTCAGATTGAAGTTGTTTTGGGTGTTCTCATTCATTGTTTTTTTGATGCTTTTCAGGTCTCTGTTTATGGTGTAGACGTGGTTGTTCTTGATGAGCCCGAAGAAGCCTTTCGTGTGTTTATGGTAGTCGGGTGGGTCAAAGGAATAAATAAGCTTCCCGTTAAAGTCAAAAAGACGCGCCGTTATGTTAAATGTCTTGAAGACGTTTTCCATTTGTGTCGTGGTTGCACCTTTGTTTTTAAACTCTTCTTCTGTTGTGTTTAGAAGTTCTAGCATATGTTGTCGGGTTAAGGTTTTGGAAAGGGAGCCCCTCTTGTGTCTCATAAGGTCGGGGTAATGGTCTAGAAGAGAATTTATCCAACATTCGTTTTCGGTATAGTGCTTTTTTGCGAGTGCTTCTTTTATTGTTGAGTAGCTGGGGTCAATCTCAGTTTCTATATATTTGTTATATATGGATATGTTTGTAGCATCTCGTAAGTTTTGATTTTCTGGCGGTTGAGCTTCGCCTTCTGCGACGTTGGCACTTTCAATTCTTATTGCATTTATGTATTGATACATATCACCCTTCGCCATATCATTAAATTCTGGGTCAGTTCTTAATATTAACATAAGGCGCTTAAAAAGGAATTTATCATATTCTTTTGTTATTCTCCGTTTTATGACGGTCTCTATAAAGTCGTTTGCTTTTACTTGCGCTTCTCTCTGTGCTGGATTAAGTAGCGGATAATAATTTCTGCCATTGACTTCAAAAGCTCGTTTTTTTCCCGAGCGGTTCTGCGTTGAAAGAAGCATATATTTAATGGAATACGTTTTGCGATTTTTGAAAAGCTCTTTTGTTTTGGATACAACATTTCTCAAAGGTTGTTTCCCGAAAATGCGCCTTAAAACTTTTATCTGCTTTCCTTCCCTAGCTTTTTCGGCTGTTTTGTTCATTCGTTCCGATAACGGGGCTTTTGATTCAAACTTTTCTATGGCTTTTTCTGCTTTTTTAATGCCTCTTGTTTTTTCTTTTTGAGTTCCTGTGGTCATTTCGTTGATGAGTTTTTCGGCTGTTTTGAAAATTGAAAGTTGGCGGTTCTCGTATAAATCAACTATTTGATTAACTTTGGTAATAACGTTTTTAGGTGCTTTTGTTTCTATTAATCGCTGTCTCTTGTTATTTAGGTGTTTAATATTGTCACGTATAGCCTTTCTAGTCATAATGTAATCTAGATTAAAATATATTGTTTTTTTTTCTTTAAATAGTTTCTCCTTAGTCTCCTGCTTTGATTTTAGTTTGCTGGTCTTTGTTAAATGACTTAAAGACAAAACGCCTATATATAGTAAGCATAAAATGACTGCAATGAAGAAGCCCGAGGATTTGACACTGGACGAGGTTAGGGAGCAAATGGCGCTGTATCAGAGGTTATATTATAAGCTGAGAATGCAAGACCCTGATTATGCAACCGCGCTAAGAGAGAGGAAAAGGTTAAGCAAGCAAAGGATTAAGGAAGCGAAGGGAGGGCAGGTTAAAATGCTTCCTAATCAAAAGTATAGTATGGAGAATATGGCTGTTATTAAGCCGAATAAGGTTGAGGAATGAAAATAATTGTTATAGTAAATATTATAACAATTATTTTGGATGTGAGGTTGATGTAAGGGCTACACCGATTTAGTGTAGGGTCTACACCGATTTAGTGTAGGGTCTACACCGATTTAGTGTAGGGTCTACACCGATTTAGTGTAGGGTCTACACCGATTTAGTGTAGGGTCTACACCGATTTAGTGTAGGGTCTACACCGATTTAGTGTAGGGTCTACACCGATTTGATGTAAGGGCTACATCAAGTAGGGGTATTGGCTCATTTCAATAGGGGTATTGGCTCATTTCAATAGGGGTATTGGCTCATTTCAATAGGGGGCTTTGCGGTTGCACTGCGGGGGCTTTGCGGTTGCACTGCGGGGGCTTTGCGGTTGCACTGCGGGGGCTTTGCGGTTGCACTGCGGGGGCTTTGCGGTTGCACTGCGGGGGCTTTGCGGTTGCACTGCGGGGGCTTTGCGGTTGCACTGCGGGGGCTTTGCGGTTGAACTGTCGGGGCTTTGCGGTTGCTTTGTAGGGGTTTAGGCGAAGTGGCTTAAAGAGAAGGCGACATATAATATTAAGAATGGAAGAGAACAAGCAAAAATGTAAAAGATGCAAGAAGCTGTGTGATAAAGATTTATTTGAAGGCTTTAAAACCTGTATTAACTGCCGTGAAAGGGCAAGGGAAAATGCTAGTGTGTATCGTGACAAATACAGAGAAGAAATTAACCGTAAAAAGCGTGAGAAGTATTCACCAAACGGAACAATCTACTGTGAAGCCTGTGGCGTTAGAATAAGACCCGAAATTTATGACGAACACGTGTTGAAACCTAATCATTACCTTGCCGTAGAAATGATAATAAAAAGCCGTGAGAGAGCGATAAAGTTATTATCAGAAGATGAAGAGTTTTTACAAAAGCTTCCAGAAGATATCAGAAACGACAAGGACAAGCTACGAGAAAGAATTTTACGTGGCTTACCAGATAGATATAGAATGTATTAGTTAGTTTTCATAATATTTAAATTATGAAAATTAAATAAGGTTCACGCCCGAGTTCGCTTGGGTGGGGTTTGGGTAAGATTTTGGGTTAGGGGCTTTGGTATTGGGGGTTTGGGGTTGATAGGAGAATTGGTAAGGGTTTTTGGTTGGGGCTTTTGGAAGTTGAGGGTATAGGATAATTGGGTAAGATTGTTTGGTTGGGGCTTTTGGATGTTTGGGGTATAGGATAATTGAAATGTATAGTTCAATTTCTGATTTTAGTTTAAAGAGAAAGTGTCTTTGTATTATTAGGAGAATGGAGCAGATTGAAGAGGGAAGGAAATTTTGTTCTACGTGTAAGCGTTATAGGAACATTGAACATTTTGACGAGGGTTATATGTCTTGTAGGCGGTGTATAGAATATATGCGAGATTATAGGACAATGAACAAGGCAAAGGTTGATGAATGGAAGTCAAATTACCGTGAGAGGAACAAGGAGGAGATTGCTTTACGGAATAAAGAATATCGTGAGAAGCACAGGGATGAAAAAAGATTGTATAATTCTTTGGTGGTTCGCTGTGATGTTTGTGATTGCGAGGTTCGGAAATGTAATCTTGCGAAACATAAGAAAACGAATAAGCATATGGATAAAATGAAAATGATTGAGGCGGATTAGTTCATATTATGAGCTTATAATATGAATTAATTTTTTTGGCGGGATATTTGGGAGGACGGGTGTTGAACTAGGGCGTCAAGGAGTCTAGCTCATATACGGGACTTTCCTGCGGGTGGGGGGGGGGGGTGGGGGATGTGCTGATGCCTGGAACCCTCCTCGCCAGCTCTGTTTCATCTCCCTTGCTGGTGCGGGTGGTGATGCCTGGAACCCGCCTCGCCAGCTCTGTTACCTCTCCGTTGCTGGTGCAGCTGCGTGTGCTGACCTGGAGCCCGCCTCGCCAGCTTTGTTACCTCTCCGTGCTGGTGCAGCTGCGTGTGCTGATGCCTGGAGCCCGCCTCGTCAGCTCTGTTTCCTCTCCGTTGCTGGTGCAGCTGCGTGTGCTGATGCCTGGAGCCCTCCTCGCCAGCTCTGTTTCATCTCCGTTGCTGGTGCAGCTGCGTGCGCTCATGATCTCCTGCCGCCCCAATCGTACGGTTTTTCCTCAAAAAGCCTTACGTAGCATGGCCTGGACCTGCTAGCTTTCGTTCCCTTGGCCCCGTCCCTCAAGTCTCTTCACCTTCACATCTTCAGGGTGTTTAGATGGGGGTTTGGGGTGGTTTTTTAAACCTGTGACCCGCGAGTTGTGGCCAGATTCAACGGAGCTCATGAGCCAAACCATCGGCGGCAGGCGACAGGGCTTCTCATGTTCAGTTCCTCGTCTCGCAGTTGACTGCCGCTCAGCAGTCTCATCATCTTTTGTCGTCGCTCTGCCGATGGTCTTCTCACTGCCGGAAAAAGCTGGGGTGCTTTAGCCTCAGCATAGACGTCGGCCCCACGTGTGTCTTGTGTGAGGCGCCGACCTGCCTCCAAAGGGAGTTGTTTCCACGCCGGTTTACCGAAGCGGTTCAAAGCAGCTGCGCCAAAAGCTTTCGATGAAGAATTCCTTAGCTTCCTCTGCGCTTCAGCTGCTTGCCGAATTGAAGCATGCTTTTTGCCTCGTAGCCCTTGGCCTGTGCGAGCTCATATTGGACACCATGCTTCAAAGACAGGTATTGATTCATTGCAATCTCACGAAGCTCAGTGTGAAGTATCAGCAAACTCTGCATGCTTACCTTTGCTTTCAAGCGACAAGCCAGCAAGTGCTTGGTCACTGGCGTCATTGTGAAGTCTGCTCTTGGTTTTTCTTGCATGGCTTTTCTATGATCTTCACGCATCTGCTTTAATGCATCCGCCATGGAATCAGCCGTGCTGTCTGAGACCTTGGCCGGCACTGCGGTGCCCGGGCTTGTCCATGTTTGCATTCCCGCAAGTGTCGTCTTTGCAGCTGATTGGGTGGGAGGGCAGGTGCTGTTCAATGAGAACCTGCCACACATGGCATTTGCCCTGCAAGCTGCCATGCTGGAGCACGTTGCCCTCGGCGCGCACGGCTGCTGAGCTGCATACAACAAGCTATAACAAGCTATTCCCAATGACTCAGACTTTGGGGGGTTTGGAGTTTAGGGAGGGCCCCCGCACACCAACAAGCCAAACCAGCCCTCACCGCCCGAGGCCAGCTTTGTTCAGCGGACGGCTCGATCGCTTCAGAGTCTTGGAGTTCCAAGGGTTGGACTCCGTGAAGTACGGGGCCGTTTCGCAGCAACTCCTTTTTTGGCCTAGGAAGATGCTCCAAGCTCGTAATTACCTGGGAAGCCGTGGCAAAGCAACAACGCATAGCGGGTGCGAGCCACAGTCTGGATTTCGCCCTCGCAATCCCCAAGGACGAGTTGCGCGCCGCGCATGCAGAGGTTACTGCGGAGCTGGAAGCAGCAAGGCTCGTCTGGTAAGTCGTCGTGTCACATGGACATGGCTTGCGCACGATTCAGATCGATTTTTGCTGTTCAGTGCAGCGGCCATCTGCTCACCACCTGCCCTGAAACCCTGAACTCCCAAGCGCTTTACTACACTGTGCACCCTCTGAACATCAAAGCTTCCGACTTTTTCGACTGCGTGCAGGGGGGACGTCGAAGCACAGCGAGTGCTGGAGGCTGCTGGTTTTCCATGCAGGGAGTTGCAGGCATGTTGTTTGTAGCTGAGCTGTTGAGTTAAGAGCCCTCGAGCTCCACAAGCTTCGGAGGCTAGAGACTTATAGGGTTTAAAGCATCAGCTGTGAGGTCCCACGCCTGCTCGAGATCTATCGGGACTACACGCAGTATCTGGTATCTTGTCCACAGGCGGTCATGCAAGCGACCATCGCAAAGCTCGAAGGCGGGCAAAGTACTTCGAAGACCTCGGGCAAGTTTCTGTCCTGCTTGCCGAGATACTTCGGAAGGACTTGGGGGCCCATTTGTGATGCCCCATCCCTATACATAGACTTAGATGTGCAAGATACATATTATGTACATAGCCCATATGTATATATTGCATAGTATATTGTGTTAGACTATATTATATTATGCTACATTACAGTATACCATATTGTAATACCTTATGGTATATTAGATTATATATAAATCATCGAAGCCTCTGTGGAGGTCTGCTCCAGCAGCTCCGCAGCATGTGCAGCACCATGGAGCTGATCCGGCCCTGCCAGGCGACCACGCCCTTCATGTCCCCCGGACATGCTCAGACAGATAGTTTAGGAAGTTTAGGGTTTAGAGGTTTGGGGGTTTAGGGCTTTAGGGGTTTAGGGGTTTTGGGTTTTAGGGTGGTTTAGGGTTCAGGGTTTAGGGTTCAGGGGTTTACAGTTCTGGACAATCTCAGACAAGAATCTGCGCCAAGACATCATGGAGCCCATAACCATTTGCATATTGTACAAGGGTTCTGGACTGAATGCCTATGTATGTGCCGTGAGATGTACGCCCCCTTCAACCCCCCCGCCTCCCTATGCTCTGCACTTCTTTGCTGTTAAACTGAGATCATGTGTGTCGAAAGTGCTGACAGTTACAGGGTTTCTGCAAGAAGAGGGAAGGGCAAAACCTCCACCCTTTTCCGAACCATCATACGAGCAGTGTGTTTGGAGATGGGAGGGTCTTTAGCCAGGCACGTTTGCAGCAGCCCAAGTAATGGCTGCAATGAAAAATGTTATTTGCAGCATCTCAAATGTTGTTATTTGAGCGCTTCGAGCTTGTGAACTCCAGAAATGCTGTAACTTGCAGCATATGGAGATTGTGTTTGTTGCGAACAAGCTTGCAGCATTTGAAGCCTGAAATGCTGTAGTTGAGAGCATTGGCAGTTTGTCGCTAGTCAGATTTTCCTCGTCGTCAATCTGCACTTGGAAGATCGCCAAAAGAGACTCCGTTTCTTTCACCGGCTTTTCTTTGTCTCCTCACGCTTGAAGGTTTATGTTTTCTGCGGTTTTTCTTCATCTGAACAACAGTAACACTTCTCGACTCGAGGTTAAAGCTACTTTCGCAGGAATCGATCAAGTGCGTTTACACTGTCAGTTCCAGTCTATGTGAGCCTTGCATTTGGAATCAGTAGCTGGGCGGGGGGGGGGGGGGGGTCAATTGCGTGCCGGGCTATCGGCGACAGAAAGAAGTCCGACATACCCTAGGCCCTAAACCCCTTTTTAACTCTAAGCTGCCAACCCTCCTCAACTCTAAACCGCTTAAACCCTCAAAAGACGGAGTTAGTAGAGAGATAAACATTTGAGCAAAAGCACAGCAACCAGCACTTCTTCTGGGCATGTCAAGACAGGCTCACACCTCGCAGTTTGCCAGTGACAAGAGGTAACTTAACACAACCGTTGATTTCTACAGCGCTGAAAAACAGCCGGGTACTCGAGAACATGGTGCCGTTTTCTACCTCATAACATTGAAACTGCGTGTCATTGCACTTACTGCACTTTTGAGCACTTATAACCTGCTTGCGGGTACTCATAACCTCACTTATATCTGATTAGCCCTGAACTTCCAAGTAGATCAAGGTTTGCGTTCTTTATTTTTTCATTTCAAGCGTCAACTTGCTTCCGCTTCCACTCATCGAGAACCATCAGAAGCTGAAACATGGTGCCCACAAGGCGAAACCGGAACAGATGTGCACTCAGTCCCGTGATATGGGCTGATCGAATTTGGGGTTGATGTTGCCAATTCGTCCTTTCTCTTTTCATGAAAGACTTCATACACTCAACAGAGTTGTGTAAATTGGCTCCTAGCTATCATAGTCTACCCCCATCTAGACACGTATGTACACGTAGGAAACACCCGCAAACACAAATATGTATACATATATATATATGTATATATGTATCTATGTACGTAGGACCTCTATGTATAGTGTGGGAAATCCTCTTCTGCATATATATTTTTATATATGTATAGGTATTTATGAAGAGTTGGACTTTGAAAATGTTATAAATGTGTATAAATTTTACTCTTAAAGGTAACATTTTTAAATTTGTAACATTTGTAAGAATTTGTATAGGTGTTACATGTGAAGCATGAACTTGTTACACTGCACAAACGAAGCTGATGAATCCTCAGCTGTGGGAGCCTCGAAGATTTTTCCTTAGATTTTTCCTTCATCTTTCCCTCGAGGGCTTATCCCACAGAATCGGGCAATGGCAAGCTGGGAAGAGTTTATCTCTAGTGCGGAGCAGTCGCCCCCGCAGGCAGCTATTCGCGACAGGGTGGTAACTGTCTTTAAGGATGTGTTGCATGCTGCAACTCCTTGGGATGCTGAAGGGCTGACTGAGGATTCCTTGACAAATGCCATAACAGATTCTCCACCCGCTCTTGCACTGGCCCGGCGAACACTTCGGAATGTAGAAGCAGCTGCCAAAGCTCGACGAGTACAGGTGTCGCAAAGCATGGCTTTGACAGGTGCCGGAAGCGTGACAGCCAGTGCTACGGCCTTGGCTGCAGCTATGGCACCAATGAAGACGACGGACGCGCAGGACTTGTTATCCAAAGCACACCTGACAGGATTGCAATATCACTTGCAGCCTGACCAAGCCTTGTTCGACGTGTTGCAAGCTCACACGGATGAGGCACGAAAGAATGGAAAAACGCCCTTCCTGTTCGTGGACTTGACGGCAAAGGATACCCTTCCGCTGTGGGTGCCCGGCGACAACGTCGGGGGGAAATTTTCCTGGCGAGATGAGGAAGAGCTTAGTTTGGCCAGCACTTCCCCGATTGGGAGCTTAGGTGACCTCACCAGGGCGCTCAAAAGTGCTACCTCAACCCCACGCTTCTTCAGGTCGGTGCCGCAGTGGTCGGCAGCTTTCTGGCGATGGGCCGTGGCAGCAGTGTCTGCACAGCACATCACCATGCCACAGGTTCTGGCTCATCAAGATGTCGTGCTGCAACTCTGCGAGCAGGAGAGGCTTCGCTCACGTCCTCCTTACGCTGCTTTCTGTATGATGAAATGGCAAGGAAGCTCTGGGCTCGCAGAGCTGACAAGAAAGATCCTTCATTTGACCTGAACTCTGAGACTCAGAAGCTTGACAAGGACCTCAAAGAGATTGTCATGCAGAGGCTCAGCGTTGTCGTGCAGATCACAGAGGTTGAAGGCAGTGGACCTGCAAGTGCGTCTTCAAGGATGGACGAGAAGGTTACGCAACAGCTGGCCGCAGCGGAAGCTGCGCAAAAGAAAGCAGAGTTGGTTACCAAGAGTTTGGCAGCGGCTCAGAAGGGCATTCTGGAGAAAGCTGCTGCGTCTGCGACGGTGAACACCACAACTGCCAACACCGGGGGTCAGCCAGAGGAGCGGAAGTTGTCGGCCAAGGAGTTGAAGACACAGAAGTGGTTTCAGAAACAGAAGCAGAGAAAAGAACAGCAGCAGTACAGAAAGAGAGGAAACTGAGCAGGGGACACCGGCGCATGCTCTTGGCTGCCAGACACAGACATGCCTGCGGCCTTGCTGCGCTTGCCGCAAGTGACGCCTGATGGTCTCGCGTGTGCCGGTGACCCTCCAGCTTCGTTTTTGGAAGTCTTTGCTGGTGATTGCGTTCTCAGGTTAGCCATGAGCCTGACTGACGTTGGCCCATACATGCCATGGGATCTGCGCTATGGACAGGAGTTCGATGTCACTGTGCATGGCCGTGCCATTTTGCAGTTGGCAGAGGCCGGTGCATTGTTTTGGGTGCATTTGGGAACGCCGTGTCAAAGCATGACTTGGGCAAGGTGCCCCCAACTTAGAACCACAGCTTGTCCACTTGGCCGTGGTGATTTAACAAAGCATCAAGCGCAGTTAGTTGCCAAAGGCAATGAGCTTGCCAAATTTTCCCTGAATTTGTGCTGTTGCCAAGCAAAACATGGGCGATTCTTCTCTATAGAAAACCCTGAGTATTCCTGGCTTTGGGTCCTCCCGCAAACAATTGAGCTGCGACACAGCGAAGGGGTAGCAGCTGTAAGGTTCCAGTTTTCCGAATACTTTGTGCCTTGCTGCAAGCCCACACTTGTCGTACACAACTCCCCTTTTCTGCACGTGCTAGCAGAAGGAGTCTTGCCGTGGCGAGGACCTAAGGTGAAACTCCGAGGGTTGGCTTTGTTTAAGGGGAAGCACCAATTTCGCACACACCTTGCCCAAACGTACCCACCGCTGTTGGGTCTTAAGTTTGCAGACGCAGTTAGCCAAACTTTGACGTGGGCAAGTCTTGGCGGCGATTTGAGAGAAATGTCGGACTCAATTCGGGTCAAGTCACATCACCTGCCATTGGCCTTGCAACAAGCTGAGTCGGAGGTAGTGGCGAACTGCTGCGTTCACTGGAAGTTAGTGCCAAGTGGCTTGAGAGCTGTTAAAGGGTTGAGCCCGCTGGAACACGTTGCTTTTGCGCTGCAGGCATCGCATCCAGGTGAAACTCAAAAAGAGCTGCCGGCGATCGTGCAACAAGCGGTTACCTTTGAGTGCCAGCAAGATGCCGCAAGCGTTGACGCCTTCCGCCTGTCGCTTCTAGAGAAGTGCTTGCGCGTGCATGCCAAGATGGAGCTGGAGCACAAAGAGTGGACACGTTGCGCGCCCGTGGAACTGCACGCGCACGCGTCGGCAATTCACGGCCCGTTGTGGAAAGTGTTGCTGCAACAATGTGAGCTGCCGCATGCGCAATTTCTTCACGACTTGCAGTTCGGTTTCCCTCTGGTGGGCGAACTGCCGCCGTGTGAGGGTGACTCTGTGGACCAAAAGTTTGAAGCTGACCTCACTGTCCGAGAGCTTGAGTCCTCTCGTCAAGTGATCAACCGCAAAGTGTTGGGAGCAGTTTCTGAGCTGCCGTTTTCTGCTGACATCTTGCCGCAAACAGTTGAAGACGCAAAGCTGGGTTTCATGTCCTTCCCCAGAGCCTTGGTTCCAGAAGATGTCTCACATCTGTCTCTGACTAGAAGAATTCCTGTCAGAGAGGAACGCTCGAAGGGTTGGCGTACCAGGATCGTCGACCATGAAACCGAAAGCATGATTAATGCCGCCGCCGTGCCTTGTGACAAGATTCGTCATAACACGTTGGATGATCTTGCCAGCATGACGTTGGCCTACTTTCAGCAAGATTGCAAGGTTCTGCTGTGGAAGAGAGACATCTCCAAAGCTTTCAGACGAGTTCCCATAAGGGTTGCTCATTTAGTCTTTGCGTGGACGGTGTGGCTGCATGATAGCTGTTTGATGGTTGCTCAGCACAA